AGCGCGCGAGTGTGACAAACCACTTCTGGGCGTCTTTTAACTTATAACACATGTAAAAAAGTAAAAATATATTTCTCTTACCTTATGATAAGGTTTTTTAGTCATGAATGACCTCTCACTTCCTAATCTAAAATACCGTACGGTTATCAGAATGGCACCGGAAAATGTAGCCTTACCACTTAGAATAATTTTCACAGTTACTGTTGAAAGTGTCTGTCAAAAAAAAAAACGTTCAATGGAGAATAGTGAATTATTTCTTTTCATTTTCAATCAAATTTCGTATTTGGATCCATCGTCAACACAGGTAGCCCATACTTATCACTAGTTTAAAAGTTTCTAAAGTATCTTAATAAAAGGTGGGATGATCATTGAAGAACAAGTTTTTGTTTTGAGTTGTTTTGAGAGATTTTAAAGACTGTAAAGTAATGATAGCTGTCATGGATGATACATGGGATGCCTGTGCTTTTCGATAAGTTAGGAGCCACGCCTTACAACATGCAACGCCTGGGAAATAAGTGATTACTGCTGGAAGAAAATGGCGGCCAGGCAYAAGTTTTCTGTAACACCTATCAAATGCAAAAAGGAAATTGTTACGACACAAATCAAAAACTAATTGATTCGGAGGTATTAGCAACAGTTATTCAATTGAGCTCCCAAGTGAGGTTAACACTGCATTCAAATGTTTTGTCAACATCTTTCTCGTGGCTGCAGTGTCTTTGCAAGACGATTGCCCAGTTACGTAACGATGAGATGTGTACGGACTCTGCGCTGGTTCACGGATAGTCGATTACTTCAGAAAAATTATTCACCTTTGGCTTTGATCAATTCACGATTAAGTACGGAGCCACCACGTTTTAGGGCCGTGTACTTGGTCCGCGCTTTAAAAACGCACKTCAAATCTGAACACTGCAGAAGACGTCGCGTTATCAGGCGTCTGTGCAGCGGTACCGGTGATTTTAGAGTGATAAAGGAAGTCACAAAGACTAGAAGGAACACTGATGCTTCAAGAATACTGTCTCTGGCAAAGCCAGAGAGATATCGGTTGTTAGGTAAGTAAGCTTATTGAATCAAAWCAGAAAAAGTTGTTTCCAAAATATTTGACCTTGCATCTAAATTACAAAAAGCTAAAACATTTTCCTTAGTCCCAACATTGCTTATGTAGTAATGTGGGTTAATC